GAATTTACTTGCTGAAAACAAATAGTAATAAAACCAAAAAAAATAATGGTGGAATTTTTAAGATTTAATTTTAGAGAAATATTAAATAATAGGCATTGTAAAAACAATGTTTTTTGTTTTTACAATGCCTATTATTTAATATACGATAGTATGGTTTTGAATAATAGTTATATTACCACATTAAAGTTACAAACTGTATCTCTGAAGTGGGCAAAATTCTTAAAAGATGTTATCAAATTGTTACAGATTCCTTCTGAAGGAGATCTGGAGCAGGGTTTATAATGTCTGGTTTTGATAATTATTAGCAAAGGCATTTGCTATTATCACCATGAAGTATTATTTTAAAGCATCCTTTTACAATAGAGTAGAAAGGGATGCTACTAAATAATTGGGATCAGGCGTATATCTCAAGTCCAGTTACTGGAACTCTTCAGTCAACTTTTCAGAGAGAAAGAAGACTGCATTGGTGTTAGGAATGCGTTTCTTCATTCAAAACAGATAATATTAAGAACTAGCTTATAGACTTTGCTATTAGAGGAGGTTTAAAGCGATAAGAAATAAAATCCTTACTCTCAAGAATTACTGAATATTTTTATTTTTAAGGTAAAATTAGTATTTTTAACTTCCTGTTTAATAGTATGACTGGTGGCAGCCAGTAGAGTTAATGGTGACCTAAGACATCATCAGTGTTGTGGAGTACAATTCAACGAGTACATTTGTATTAATTGCTAATCATATTTAAAATGTCAGCCTCTTGACTCCTGCCTCTCATTCCTACGGTGTCTTGATGGTTCTAAGAACACAGGCTAACTTGGACGTTCAAAGTAGAAAGTTTTGCATAATAGTTACTTAATTCAACATTAAGATAAAATTAGCCACAAGGATCTAAGTTCTCCAGTTACTGAAACTGCCCATGGTTTTTAACCATCATTCACCCATGGTCATTTTATATTAAACTTACTACATAAAACACACATATTATATTAGACGTATACTAAACTTACTACTTACTAAATAATAAAATAGACATGACTTTACTAGAGAATGAGAATGTTTAGGCCTAATTTATTGGTCACTCAGCTTCTCATTCCCATTTCTTTCTCCAATGCTCTGAATATGTTTTGTTTTCTACATATTTCCTGCAGAATTTCTTACCATTTTGTGTTTTTTCCCCTTTGTGTTCCATTACACTTTTTTACTATTCCTTTCATAGAAGTCACAAGTTAACCATTATCTAAAGCATTCCTTTAAACAGCATGGAGTTTTTCTCCAAAGATCTGACAGAAATTCTTTAAAAATGGGCTTTTTTTTTTCACATTTAAGACTTCCCTCAACAAGTTCACTTTTAGATTGCAGATTTCTCTGACAGAGTTGAGGTATCAAAACCCAGACAGAGTGAAAATAGCTTTTTCTTGAAGTCATTTAGAATCTAAGACTTATGCCCTACTATGTCAGATAACCCAGCTTGGAAATAAGGTGAGTATATGTGCATGTCTGTAAAGGGGCAGTGCTTAGGTGGTAAGACTGGTAAGCAATCTATACAAAGTGAACTCACAATGTCCTCTGAAAATGATATATTTGAGCTGTCTTATATACTCAGACTCTGCCCCAGACACTTCTGTCTCAATGTTTGTAGTAAATTAATGATGATTTTCTCTGTTGCTTTGGTTAGACAGCTCCTTTCAAAAAAAGAATTTTCCCAGGAGATAAATGCAGTGTTTCCTCTTTTTTTTTTCTTTCCCTTGATATATATAAACAACCTAGTGTCCAAGCAGTATACTTAAAAACAATTTTCATTTTCTTCTATATCTCTTAGAAAGGTAAGACTGTCTCTCCTGTAATGTGTCAGATCTTACTATTTTAGAAACTGGTAGTGACCTTAGTTGTCATCTTGTTTAACCTTCACTTTACAGCTGAAGCAAACGCAGCCCTGAGGAGAGAAGTGTAGATTAAAGGTGGTCACAAATGTTCTGCTGCTCCTTCCAGCCAGAGGCGGAGTCTCACACCCACTCCTGTCCCCTTGTGTTTGGGCAGGCTCTGTGACTGCTTCAGTCAATAAAGAACAGTGGAAACTGCACTCTATCAACTTCTGGGCCCAGGCATTAAGGGGACGTCAGCTCTACTTCCTGTTTCTGACTTGCTCTTGGGACTTCTTATCTCAGAACCCAGAAATTACGCTGTGAGAAGCTGAAGCCAATGGAAAGGCTATATATTGGTTTGTGCTCCAGTCAACAACCACAGCAAAGCTCCCGGCTGACAGAAAGCATGCACTTTCAAACTTGTGAATGTACCATCTTGGATGTCTAGCCTAGTCAAACCTTTGAAGGGCTTCATCTCCAACTAACAGTTGACAACAAGAACTTGAGAGACCCTAAGTAAGAACTGCCCAGTCAACACACAAATCAGTAAGAGAGTAATCGTAAATAATAAATTACTGTTTTAAAGCACTAAGTTTGAGAATGTTTGTTAAGTAGTAAAAGCTTATTGGAACTGAAGGCAAGTTTCTAAGTAATACCAGAATGAGAAATGGAACATTCCAAAGCCAACATAACGTCATTATAATGTGTTAAGGGAACAAAGAGGGTTGAATAAGTCCCTCAGTAACTCAAAATTCCAAAAATCTGTTATGGTTTCATATTCACATTAAATACAGAATTTTCAAAATCCTTAAAAATTTAAAATAGATTCTTAGTGCTCCATTTACAGAATAATAAACTATCATTTGGTAACAAAATTAAGGTAGTATTCTCAAGGGTCCTGGAAGGCAGCACCTTCTTAATAAGTTTTATGAAAGAAAGAGTACTTCACGTAAATTGATTTGGGGAAATTTTAACTTAAAGAGGTCTCTTTATATCTGGATTTTTCAGAAATGTAAAATCTCCACAAGGACAAATAGAACTTTTTTTCCCAAAAATGTGTGATCAAGGAGTCCTTCATTGAGCACCTTAAGAGATTTATGTCTCATTAGAAACTAAACTGAAAATAGGAATAGGATGAAACCTTATTAGCAGAAACCAACTTTTACTCTCAGAATTTTTCACTAAAAAGTTACTTTCATAATTTAGTGTTCCTTCAGCTTAGAAAAAACATTTCTAGACAAAAGGTTCATGATTCAGAGGGGCCTGAACATTTAGTTTGGTGCCTTTAATGACTTGCTCTTTCTTTTCTGCTCTCTTTTAATTTTTAACATTTTCCTGTGGGAATAGTTAATAAATATTTGAGGAATGAGTACAGGAAGGAATATATAAATAAATAATAAGCAATTGACTGGATTAGTTAAATGCAAGCAAACCTGGAACTCAGCTTTGACTCTTCATCAGCTTGGTCTGGGTTTTGTACTTTATTTCCACATAAGGCCAATGGGAATTATATCTGTTGCCCTGTCTCATAGTATTCTTGGGAACTGCAAAGACTTCAAAGTTGGAGGTGGGGCAGTTTTAGGGCTGAAATTATCTTAGTAATCACCTATTTATCCACACCTTTCATTTTCTAGTTGTGACTATTGGGGTGCAGAAAGTTTACAGTGGAAGTGCTAGTTACGTGGAAACTTCCTTCCCAGCAGATCCACATTAAAAATGTTGGGAAAGTCTTCTACCTTAGTAAATGTTGTCTAGAATGCTGTGTTTCTAATTCAAGTGGCAACTATTTCTAATACAAATTTGATAAGCAATTTAGGCCCCCAAATATATGTTCCACCACAGAGTTTATGGCCTATATAGGAAGGTTCTGGCAGTCAAAACATTTAATAATCAGCACAGCATGGGCACTGACAATAAGTCTAGACACAAGCCAAAAACAACTAGTGGGGCAGTTTTAGGGCTGAAATTATCTTAGTAATCACCTATTTATCCACACCTTTCATTTTCTAGTTGTGACTATTGGGGTGCAGAAAGTTTATAGTGGAAGTGCTAGTTACATGGAAACTTCCTTCCCAGCAGATCCACATTAAAAATGTTGGGAAAGTCTTCTACCTTAGTAAATGTTGTATAGAATGCTGTGTTTCTAATTCAAGTGGCAACTATTTCTAATACAAATTTGATAAGCAATTTAGGCCCCCAAACATATGTTCCACCACAGAGTTCATGGCCTATATAGGAAGGTTCTGGCAGTCAAAACATTTAATAATCAGCACAGCATGGGCACTGACAATAAGTCTAGACACAAGCCAAAAACAACTGGTAGAGTCATACTAATGGGAACTAGCTCAGTAAGAGGATCAGTTCAACCACATTTCCCCCTTCCTGCCACTGGTTCCTGGGCTTGTGAATACACTCACCTTTTTACTGGTGTTGGGTATTCTTCCACTCAGCTTTCTCTTATACCGTGGCTGCATTACTGATGCCCATAATACAACAGATTTCATTATCTGTTTTCTAGGAATTGCCCAGCACTTCATAGCTCCTTCATATGACAATCCACCTCCCAAAATATGGGGAATGTCTCCAGTTTCCAAGCAGAAGAGGATTAAGTTTTATTATCATCTCCTCTTGCCTCTACGGGGACATGGATCAATCCACTATCTCTATTTAATTACTCTGGGTTTCTCTATCCCCATATATCCTACATTCTAGAGTCATGTTTCATAGTTGAATATGATTTGAAAGGCTGAGGAGTAACATAACCATGAAAAGATGAGAAACAATAAAATGGCATGACGGAGAGCATTTAATACTATTAAATCAGAATATGAAGAAAATATTTGTAATAGTAAAAGCTATGTTTAACCAGGTTTCATGTGTGTAACTCTGAAAAGAAAATGTATTAAGAAAATATATTCATCATATTTTCACAATTCTTTCTAAATAAATTGTTCCTTTTCTGAGCCAATGGGGAATAGTTCATACGATCTGACACACATACCTTCATATTACTTTGGCCCATCTCTGTTTCATTTGCTATAAATGGTCAAAAATTTGTATCTGACCTCAGTTCAGCTATAAATGCAGAATGAGAGCCCTATTCTCCTGGATTTAGAGTAGTTATAATTCCAGCACACTTACCTCTACAAGCCTGCTGGTGTGTTCACGGAATATCGCAGCATATTCTTTTATTTCCTTTTCCCGGCCATTCTTGGCAGCTTCAATGAGAACCAGAAGTGGGACTGTTGTATCCAAAAAAGAGTCTGACACATGATCTATGATAGCCTTACGGAGCTGAGGAGAAGTAAAAAATTCAGTTGTTGTTGTTTTGTTCTGTGTTTTTTCCCCCAGAAAATGGTTCATATTATTTCCTATTTTTACAATCTCAGTAATTACAAAATTCCTTTTATATATTTTTGCACAGTCTTTTAAAATCATAATATTTAAGACTGTGTATGAATGTCACTTACAAAGCTAAAACAAGGTAAATATCCACAAAAAAAAATTATTAAGCAATAGCTTTCTTGCTCTCAAAAATTACTATTTTTTTCTTAAACTGTATTTAGCCTAGAGGTCAAATTATAAGTGATAGTACTCCATTCTTCCCTCTAAGAAACTGCACTCTCATAATGTTTATGCATGTGTACAAACAACATTGTACAGCATGTATTTTCATAATTACAAAATTATAATATGTTTTCTACCTTGTAGGAAAAACTCATGATAAATTTTGATTAGCTAAATTGTAGACTTCAAGGTAATTAAACCAAGTTAGATCACTGCTTATGCCAGTTGATAATAGATTAATAGAGCAAGGAGAATAATAAATGAGTTTGATGTCCAATTTTCTTTGTTTGCATTAATTGTTCTTGCCCTCACACCTTAAATTATTAAACAAGTATAACATTCTGCTACAATTAGTTCTTTTAAATTAGATTATGTGTAAGCTTATAAATGACAATCAGGCAATTACTCTACTCAGCAGATATTTTCTGAAATTTAAAACTGACTTGGAAAATTAATGCATTATATTTATATAATATTGAGTTTTTAAGGATCACAATATCTTGAATGTTTCATTAACAATGTCAATGAGTATGAATGGTTCCAAAGTTTTTGCTCAATTCCCTCACTTAATAACCTATGTAATAAAACACAAATATGAATAAATATCAGACAGAATCTATAATTTGCCTTTTGTGAAAATTACATTTTAGTATGTATTTTAAAACCAGGAGATACTTATTCTAGTGTTGGATTACATGAGAATTAATATACTTTCAAGGGGTTGAATGATGTAGCTACATGGACGGAAAAAAAAAATACACTGCCTCTCTTCCTCTAGCAATTATAGGATAAATCCATAATAGTTATTGATTTGGGGAAGAGAACATACCTTCATCTAAGATAGTGGAGCTTTCTCAGAAGAACTGTGAAATTTTATGGCTACCAACAATTTCACAAAAGCAGTAGGAAGATCCCCAAGGAAAGATTCTGCTTAGCATGCAGAAAAGTAAATCACTAATGGCAACTAAGTAAGATTTACTGAGCACTTACTTCCACAGGGTGTAGAGTGCTAAGTGTTTCCAGGACAGGAGAAGAAGACCTTAAGTGAATGAGACTTTGATGCCCACAAAGAGTAGACCAATGAAGTCAGACAACAGATCATAAGCTAGGAGTTAGCTGGCAACTAAAGGTGTGTTCGGAGAAGGCAATGGCACCCCACTCCAGTACTCTTGCCTGGAAAACCCCATGGATGGAGGAACCTGGTAGGCTGCAGTCCATGGGGTCGCTAAGAGTCAGACACGACTGAGCAACTTCACTTTCATTCTTCACTTTCATGCATTGGAGAAGGAAATGGCAACCCACTCCAGTGTGCTTGCCTGGAGAATCCCAGGGACGGGGGAGCCAGGTGGGCTGCCGTCAATGGGGTCACACAGAGTTGGACACAACTGAAGTGACTTAGCAGCAGCATAAGGTGTGTTAGTTCTACATACGTAAGAGAAAAGTAGAAGAAATCTCTCAGAGGTGGAGTTATTTTCAATGACCTTCTCTACCCTTTATCCTTTTTTCTTTCATTAACATACAGAAGGAGGGCCAAGAGAAGATTTATAGTAAAGATACGGGATTGAAAGCCAGCATATATAAGGTAGGTAATTCAAACCAAGGAGGTGAACAGAATGGTATAGAGGGAGATTCACAGTGAGATGTCCATGAATAAAATCTTAGAAAATATTACCACTTATGAGTAATATGGGCATGGATGGGTAGATGAAAGAGTACGACCTTAAAAAGAGACTGAGATGATGGCTATGAAACAGAGATCAAATGATCAACAGCCAAAAGGGAAACTTTGAAATAAATTTCTGTTTCAATGCCCTACAAATGAACTTATCCTACCAAACACAATTGTAATACCCACATTATAGGTATGTTGAATCTCCTTATCTATGTATTTGATTTTTCAATTCAATGAGTATTTCTGAACACATTTCCCCTTAATTTCTACCAAGAGCTAGATATTGTGAGAAATGTCATGTTGGAAACACAGGATTCCTTATAATCTAATGGAGGAGAGAGTGCCATTAAATATTACAATAAAGGAAAATCAAGAGACTGACAGGAATTTCAAAAAGATAAAATGGTTCAGAATTGTATTTTAAAGATAAGTTAAATTAAAAGAACCAAGTCTTCTCTATGGGATTTGACCACTAGATTATTAAGTTTTAGTGGAAAAGTGGGAATAGCAACCCTATTGCTATGGTTGGAAGAGTGAATGGGAGCAAAGAAGTGGAGATGGAATAAACTCCTGTTTCTAGTAATTTGATTGTCACAATAAGAAATAAGACTTGTTATTAACTACATTGAGACAGGTTTAAAGAGGGATTGTTTCTCATATAAAAGACTTTGATGTGTGTTCTTATCTACAACTAAACACAGAAAGTCAGACTGAGATTGTCCTCCTATGTTTTAAAAGAATACATTTTGATTTATTACCATATAAAATTGATAGTAACACAAATAACTATTGTCTTAGATTATGCTAATTTTTGTAAATACTTGAATAATTACAGCAATTTTCTTCCAGGACTGAATATATTTGCTCTGGTCTGCATCTTTCCTCAGTGGCGCCACCTTGCCTTTCCTTCATTTTAAAGGTATTTACTCCCCTGTTCTTCTTTTTTATTATTGTTTCTTCAAGTTTTCAACTAATTTTCCCTGCTACTCATTCCATCCAGCATCTCATATACAAATACTGAAATATCTATAGAGTTGAGGTTTGATGTATAGCTGATTTACTCTTAATTAAAGAATAAATACTTTGATTAATTTTTTTTTTAGATTAAACCAAATTTGTTATTGTTCAGTGACTTAGTCATATCTGACTCTTTGCCACCACATGGACTACAGCAGCCCAGGTATCCCTATCCCTCACCATCTCCCAGAGTTTGCTCAAATTCACATCCACTGAGTCAGTGATGCCATCCAACCATCTTGTCTTCTGTTGTTCCCTTCTCCTTCTGCAATCAATGTTTCCCAGCATCAGGGTCTTTTCCAGTGAGTCAACTCTATGTATCAAGTGGCCAGAGTATTGGAGCTTCAGCATCAGTCTTTCTAATGGATATTCAGGGTTGATTTCCTTTAGGACTGACTGGTTTGATCTCCTTGCAGTCCAAGGGACTCTCAAGAGTCTTCTCCAACACCACAGTTCAAAAGCATCAATTCTTCAATGTTCAGCCTTCTTTATGGTACAACATCTCACATGACTACTGGAAAAACTATAGCTTTGACTCTACAGACCTTTGTTGGCAAAGTATATCTCTACTTTTTAATACACTATTTAGGTTTGTCACAACTTTTCCTCCAAGGAGCAAGAGTTTTAATTTCATGGCTGCAGTCACCATCTGCAGTGATTTTGGACCCCAGAATAATAAAGTCTGTCACTGTTTTCCATGTTTCCCCATCTATTTGCCATGAAGTAATGGGACTGGATGCCATGATCTTAGTTTTTTGAATGTTGAGATTTAAGCCAGCTTTTTCACTATCCTCTTTCATTTTCATCAAGAAGCTGTTTAGCTCCTCTTCACTTTCTGCGATAAGGGTGGTGTCATCTGCACATCTGAGGTTACTGATATTTCTTCCTGCAATCTTGACTCTAGCTTGTGTTCCATCCAGCCTTGCATTTCACATTATGTACTCTGCATATAAGTTAAATAAGCAGCATGACAGTATACAGCCTTGACATGCTCCTTTCCCAATTTGGAACCTGTCTGTTGCTCCATGTCCGGTTCTATTACTTCAGAACACATTTTTTGCTTTTTTCTTAAGACGTGTTGCTAACTACATAATATGGTAACCAAGAAAAAGGGTACCACATATTATATTCAGTAGGACAAGACAGAAAAACCAGAAAATTTGCTTTCAAATGAGTTCTGTGCCAATGTTTTCGTGATTCTGTTGGAAAATGGCTAAAATTACCTGATACAGGATACTATCATGCATAATGAGCAAAATGAATCTTCGGTATTTGTATATTCATTCAATGTAACAAATTCATTTTGAGTTGTTCTATCTAAGGGCAAAGCACCATTTGAAGCAATTTGGGAAATAATAGAATGACAGAGATGGGGTAACTTAGGGAGAAAGTGAGACAGAGTTTGATGAGTATCTTACAGGAAGTGCAAACAAATAAAAAACAATTGACTGTCATGGTTAAGGAGATTTCTATAAGGATGTGACATATATAATTCATTTAAAAAGACTGATTAGGATGTTAAGAGTTGGAGCTGGCAAACATCATATTCTAGGAATAGAGATTATCACGACCAAATAGATCCTCCCAAATCACAAGCATCTGATGTGACTGGAATATGGTGCTAAAGATTGAAATAGGATTTCCTTAGGCAGAATGGAAATAGTGAAAGGTATTTGAGGTAAAAATAACAAAATTCAGACAGAAAGAGTAAAAGATGACAGAAGGAAATGGCCAGAAAATGGTGATTTGTGTTAGACATGAGAGATACCCTTAAGGCATAGCACGCAGTCAGCAGGCAGGGGGACATCTTCTCTTTTGAAAGCACCTTCACCCCACACAAACCGCAAACAACACAATTAATGCAATCAACCCACCCTTTTCTCACCAGATCATCTCTGTTACTGACTTATGATCATTTACCATCACATTCATAGCTATGATTACAGACTACATTAGAGGCCTTTGGTACTTTACATCTCATCCATTGGACCAGTCTCTGATTCCGGCTGTTATTCCTGGGGACAGTTCCATATCCTCC